TCTCACCTAAGCTATTAACGCTACGAAACGCTCTATTGGATTAAACCTTAGTCAAGATAGTCATCAGCTATCAGATAGAACTTGGCACTTTAAAAAGTTGCACTGTTAAATATTATGACAAAAGTTTGTTACTATGGGGACACTGTTATAACTCTGTTAATTGTTGAGAGCAAAGTACAATGTTTGTTTTTTTAAAGTACTCTTTTTCATAGTGGTCATTATAGATTTTAAATGTTTACAATTGGTGTGTTGTGCACTGCTGTTTTTATTAAGATAAGGGTTTTTAGTACTTAAAAAGCACTGTTTGTTGGCACTTGAAAATAAATGTTATATTGCAACTGAATCAATTTGTGTTTTTAATGCATTCTTTTTGGAGATTGTTGGGAGTTTACACAATGTGTTTAGAGATTTGTTGTAGTACAATTATCTTAGTTAGCAGGAATTAGTTTGTTTAATTTAATAGTAAACCTTAGAAATTACGAGTTAGTCAAATTTAAAAGGGTTAAGTTCTGGTGATTTGTATATTTAAGTTTAATTTGTTCATTGAGTTCACACAAATACAAAAAAATAGGTTAATACAAAGCATGCCTTTTAAGTTTACATAACTTAGTTTACATAAGTTTACACAATTTAGTGTACATAAGTTTACACAACTTAGTTTATATAAGTTTACATAACTTAGTTTACATAAGTTTACACAATTTAGTTTACATAAGTTTACACAATTTAGTTTACATAAGTTTACACAACTTAGTTTACATAAGTTTACATAACTTAAAAGGTTTTTATCAACTGTACTTCTCAAAATCAATTGAAGCACACCTAGAATACACAAGTTGTTCTTACTCACAATAAGTAAGTTAACTTAACTTACTTATTGTGAGGCAACGAGTTTGCATACTTTTTCTAAGTTACCACAACTTATTCAGTTTTAATGTGTGCCTTTTTGGGCTTCAATTCAACACAATCAAACTATTTTATGTTAAAATGCTCAACAGATGTTTACTTCATCTCAATTACAAGCAATATAAACAGCAGAGATGGTTAATATTTGCCCTTTTACATTTGTTGGATCACATTAATGAATTAAATTGCCGCTCGTTTTTTTGCCCGCTGACCGGCTGGTCCTGTGCCTCGTCTTTTTTTTGTAACTAGCTGATGCTCAATCTCATCCTCTTCTTCAAAGTCATTGTCAGACTCAGAATTCTCAGAAATGTGATCCTCACATTCTGAAGCCTCTTCCTCTTCCATCTACATCATCATCAAATGGTTCTCTCTCTTCCAGAATCGTTTGCAAGGCCCTCTGAGCAGAGAATCGTTTGGCCATCTTGATCA